GTTCCCTGGGCGCCTCCTGCTCACCTTGGCTCCTCTGCGGCCCGGCTCATACACAGGAGCCCTCGTCGGGATCCCCCCGCAGACACGCGCGGGAGCCACGGGCCTGCAGTTAACTCCTCCGCGTCCGGAGAGGGGGAGTGCGGCCACCCTGTCCTCCCCCGGTCTCTTCGGTTCAGCCTGGTCTTCGATTTTGTTTCCCCCATGAAAGCACATGACAGCTGAGCAGTCCACCAACTGGCTGTGAACAGCATCAGACTTTCAGGAGACGTTAACGTGGGTGTCATTAGGTGGCTTTTATTCTGTGGATGCCGCACAATCCACCACTCGCGCTGATCTCAGGTTCCGGACGACACAGGTCCGCGGCCGGCAGCAGGCCGGCCGAGGGGATTAGCTCCAGAGGTTCCTCTCACTTAACTGACAATCACGTCTTTCTGCCGAGAATCAAACCGCACACAACTTCAGAACAGCACACACAGGATGGTGGCGACTGCCGCCGAGCGCCCACCGCGGTGGCTCTTCCTCCCGGCTGGGAAGGGTCTTCCCGGGGATGCAGGTGGCTGCTCGAAAACCTCTGCTCTCACTGCCCATCCACTCTGCGGGTGGCCGCGACGTCCGGTCCCAGGTCAGAGTTAAGACTCTGATGAGTCTCATGAGGCCGGTTGGTGCCTTGGTCGTATCCAGGAGCATCGGGAAGGGAAGCACCCTCACCGGGTCGCCGGCAGGACCTCCCGGCCCAGGGTCCCAGAACGTGTGCCCTGGCCTGATGCAGCCAAGTGAGAACCCACAGAGCGGTGACCGGAGGTTCACATCGAGGTTCACATCACGGCTCCTGTCTCCCCAACATACACCTCCCTCTTTGCCTGAATTTCTTCAATGTCGATGGAAAAGTGCCTCTCTCGATGGCCAACCAATCAATAAAATAAATAAACTTCCAAAAGCAGTAACTGGATGCAGTGTTTTGCCCATAAATCTCTAAAAGTTCACTGTGGGTCCTGCTGGCACTTAAATCTTAAAAAAAAAAAAA